CACCGGCGCATCCCTCGACAGGCTGGAGAATCGCGTGAGCTTGTCGGAGGCACAGAAGCGCGGCAGGTGGCGCTCGGCCGCGAGCGTTCGGAGGTACGAGAAGTGGGCCCTGGTGCAGGAGGCGTTCAACAGCCTCGCCCCAGGCCCGCGGCGCTCTTGCCTAGGCAGCGAGCGAACGTTGCAGGCCGAGGTGAGCAGGCGGGTCGGCCAGCTCCGCGCCGACAGACCGCCCGTCAGAAGCTGAACCACTTCTGCATCGAGATTTTCAGTGGGCAGGGCGAGTTTACAAGGGCTGTGAGTCGACAAGGTTGCACATGTTTCAGTTTTGATATCCTTCAAGGATCTGGGGGGGGATCTTTCACGAAAAGCTGTCCAGAGGCGAATCCGAAAACTCATCGAGAGCCCTCTGTGTTTTGGAATACTCCTGGCGCCGCCCTGCACGACCTTTAGCATTGCTAGACGGCCCGCTATTCGAGACAGAGATCACATCTATGGCCTGCCCAACTGCAGCGCCCGAGACCAAGTTAAACTAGACCAAGCTAACTACCTCGTACATCAAACATATCTCATATGCAGACTAGCCATGCAGTTTGGTGTTCCGTCCCTTGTAGAGAACCCGCAGACCAGTCCCCCCCTGGCAGGTGCCCGAGTTTGCTCGCATGCTGTCGAAGCCAGAGGTGGACATCCACATGTTTCATATGTGTGGCTACGGTGCTAGATGGCGGAAGGCGACCTCAGTGATGTCCTTTGGGATCCCAGCGATTTCCAGTATCGTCAGAACATGTAAGTCGCGCCCCCCAGCACCATGTAGCTTCAGTAAGCAGCCCCAAATCATTCTCTCCGGTGCTGACTCTTCGGGCGCGAAGTGGACCCGACGAGCTGCTGCGTATCCTAAGCCGCTGGCCACGAAGATGGCAACCCTGTTTGTGGACACAGCCTTCGCAAGAGGGCTTGAAACAACGCGAGAATTGCTTCGTCTTCGACCTGGCCTTGTACGCTCGTGATTGTGTTAACGATGCTCTGCACTTCTTCTTCCCCGACCCGCCCTCCGTGTACCACTCCGTTACCTGTGCGTATTTTGGAGCGTTGTATTATATATTCAGTTGCGTTGCGCGCAGGGCTATCACAAGTTGCTTGGATTGTTTCGCCGCTCCGTGTGAACAGAGATGGGTACAACAACAGTCGAAGCGGGGATGATAGGTATGCTTCCATGGGATTCATCTGAGATGAGAAGGTTTGCTTTCCTCTGTAGTCCTCTTTCTTTCCCACCCTACAGTTCCTGTTCCCTCCCTAACTTGAAGGCTCGCGTATCTCACGAGTCTGGCACCCAGCGTCTTTTCAAGCATGTGAATGTTCTTTGGGAGCGTTGTATTATATATTCAGTTGCGCTGCGCGCAGGGCTACCACAAGTTGCTTGAATTGTATCGCCGCACCGCGTGAACAGAGATGGGTACAAAAACAATCGAAGCGGGGGCGAATCCTTTCCCCACCCTCCTGCGGCTGTTAGCTGCACCCCGCCAGGGCACCGGGCCGCCCCCTGCAGTGCAAACGCGAACCTTGAGGACCACTTCGTTTCAGGCGACGGCATCAGCCAACGTCCTTCGGCTGCTCACTGCACCCCAACCCTGATTTCACAAGGTTGGGGCTTCTCCCTGCGCTCTGCGGCCGCCAACTTCACCCCCGCCGGTCATCGGCCCGCCCCGAATCCAATGTGTCTCACGCGAGGGCTACATGCCCCACTTTCTTGCAGCTACGTGCTGCTCCCGACCAGGCCCCTCGGCAGCACCTCCCAATCTTCCCCTGGGTTGGCGCCCTCTGGGCCCCGCCTCGACCGCCATCTCCCCCCCCTCCCCGCGGGCTGGGCTGACAGTCGCCACTTCCCCCGCTCCTGGCCCTGGGCGGCATTCGGCTGCCCCTCCGTTTGCCGATCCCAGGCAGACCGCCTGCGTGTCCCAGGCGGAACCTCTTCCCACATTCCTGCGGCTGTCAGGTGCGCCCAACCAGAGCACTTGGCGCCCTCGTGCGGTGCCGGCGCGAAGCCCGGGGATTTCTAGGCTGACCTCCTGCATGTCTCAGGCGGAACATCTCCCTTCTTTCCTGCGGCTGCTAGCTGCGCCCTACCAGGGCCCAGCAGCGCCAGCGCGAAGCATGCGGGCTCCTCTGTCTCAGGAGACGACATCATAGCCGGAGCCTCTTCCCACGTCCCGCGGCTAGCCACAGAGCATCAGTATGTCTCAGGCGGAGATAACCTATTCCACCTTTCTGCGGCTGTCAGCTGCGCCCTACCAGAGGACCAGGACGTCTAAAGCAAGCCCTCCCCCACCTCACTGCGGCTGTCAGCTGCACTCCGGCCGTGCATCAGGATGTGTCAGGTGTAACTTTTTCCCCATCGCCCTGCGGCTGTTAGCTGCACTTCTGCAGGGCATCGACTCGTCTCCAGCGGAACCATTAGTTACCCAGCTTCCTGCAGCGCTTAGCTGCCACTTCACCCCGCTTTCGGTCGTGGACGGCAGTCGGCTACACCCCCGTTTGCCGCTCCCAGGCCGATTGCCAGTACGTCTCAGGCGAAAACATTTTTCCCACATTCCTGCGGCTGTTAGCTGCACCCTACCAGAGCACTGGGTAGTCTCACGCGATGCCATCGCTAGCTTTTTCCCACTTTCCGCGGCTGTCAGCTGCGCCCCCTCAGTGAACTGCAGGTCTCAGGCGACGGAGCCCCCCATCGCCCTGAGGCTGCTAGCCCGGCGGTCTCGGGCTGGCTGGCCACCCGAACCGCCTTGGCAGGCGCGGCCCCCCCGGGGCCGCGCCAGTTGCCCGTTCCCCGCCCGGCTGGCCCGGGCTGTTTTTCGTCGGCACTGGCTTGTGCATTCAGGCCGCCCGTCGGTGCATTTCGAGTCCAGGCATTGTCCGCTGCCTCCTCGGTCGGACTCCCTCTTGCCCCCCCTGGGGCTCGGGGAATGCGACGACCTCGCCCGTCGACCGCGCTGGTCTTGGAGATGGCCTGATGGATTGTTGGCTGCGAGTGCCCTACGCACCGCGCCCTTTTTCTCCCGGTGGTCCACTCCGTGGCTTCTCGTGTCTTGCGACATCCCATCTGGGTGTTTTGATTCGGACACGTCGAGACTTATTACAAGTACAGGCAGTTCGGCATGGAGCGGCCGTCAACTACTGGGTATGTGATTGAGCCGCGGTTTAGCTGCGTTGTCTGTCTTTCTGTCTTGTCTTCCGCTGCCGCTTCTCCAGTTTGTCGTCCGCCCCTGTCTCGCCTCGCTCTTTCCCGTGTGTCTCTTGTTTGCTTTCTCCCCGCCGAGTAGTTCTCGCCCCCGTAGTGGCCCTGTTCCGCTTGTCGCCTGTTAGGCTCGCTTTACAACTCTGTCGGTGCGCGGTTGGTTCCGCGACACTCGCGATCAAAAAAAGTAAACCCGCCAGACCATCCAGAGACGATGCCCAGAGGAGTTGCCTCGATCAGGGAAGTCGGCAGCACGCAGAGGAATAGTCCCTTTTGGAGCGCTCTTGGGTGCCTCGGGGAGCCTCCTGGCAGGGCCTTTTCGGGGATTTCTTGGGAGCCGTTTGGAGGCCTCTCAGGCGCCTCTTGGGGCCTCCTGGGCGCTTCTTATGGCCCTCTTGATGCGTTCTTGGAAGCCTTGGGAGCGTTCTTGGGGCCATCTTGGAAGAGCTCGAGCAAAGAAGGGAGTTTCTTTAATTTGCCTCCCCCCATGGACCCTGGGGCCCTTCTTGGAGCGCTAATGTAGAGCTCTCGGGCGCTCTTGGGGCCGTTTTGGGGCTTTCTTGGGCCTCTATCGGGGCCCTCTTGGGCCCTCTTGGAGCTGTCTCGGGGCCTCGGAAGGCCACCGGAAGCGACAAACCGAGAAGGCACACATCATATAGTTATTGCTTTCAGGTTGCGAAGCAGGATTTCGACCTCTTGGCTGCCTTCTGGGGAGGCTCCGTGGCCACTTGGAGCCGTCTTGGAGCGGTCTTGGTTTTTTTTGAGCATCTTTGGGGCCATATTGAACCATCTTGTGCTATCTTGATCCGTCTTGGAAGTCATCTTGGGCTTTCTGAGGCCCTGTTGGAGTCGTCTTGGGTCATCTTAGATGCTCTGCCCGCTCGCGGGGCGCCCCCGTCCAGGTCCAGAGGATGGGGTGGGGGGAGGGGGCAAGACACCCTACTAGATAGCACGCCGTATAGCTCATTCCCACCCGCCCTCCCAACACATACGTAACACCCGAGCCTGAGCATGTTTACAGGTCGTCTTTGGATGGGCAGCTACTGGGAACCAACACCGACCCCAAGTGCGCGACGCTTGGGCGAGGTGCGCCACGCGTGCCAGGCGCGCCACGTTCGGGGCACGTGCAGATTGTGTCAGGTGCGCCTGCGCAGTTGACAGCACACATTGGGAAACGTGTCGGCCCCCGCCATCCTTCTCGAAAAGCAATGCCCATCATTGCGTCTGGTGGGCCTGCGCACAGCAGGCCATACGCCCCCCCCGCCGTCCTCGCCAAATACCACGTGACAGTGATCGCGGGGTGGCCGAGCATGATCCGGATTCAGCCGCGAGGTGCATGTTGTGTTGTTTTTGTTGGGGATGGTAGCCCTGAGCGCAGCAGACAATATGCTGACACCCCCGCCTTCCCTGTCCAAGACAATACAAGGTTCCCGCCGGCATCACGAACATGACTCAAGACTTTGCCCCAGAGTGTGTTGTGTTGCTTTTTGACAGGGATGGTGTGGGGGGGAGCGCATTGGGTTGGCCGCGCATGCTCCAAATGTGGAGGCAAAGTGCGTTTTGTATGGTTTTAGACAGGGATGGCTGGGGGGTGGTAAGCATGGTATCCTCGTTGTTCTTGGTTGGCTGCCAGTGGCCTGGGGGAGGGGGTGTATACCAATAGGGAACAGTGATAAACACCTCCCTGGAGAGGAAGAAGGGGGTTGGAAGAGGAGCCTCTCTAGACCACCTACGCCCAGAGGGCTGGGCGCTGCCCAGCCTCCTCCGAGAGGAGCGACCTCTCGGAAAAGATGCAGAAGCTGCTGGACGAGCACGGCGGGGTGTGGGGAGAGCGGGGCTCGCTCGCGACGTTCGGCGCTCGCGAGGCGATAAATGGAGGGGGAGAGAGGGTTGCAACAAGGGGGGCCCTTGAGGGCTCCTACAAGGGGCCCTTTGGGGGCCTCTGGTACCCGAGAAAGGGCACCTTTCTCCCCCCCATTCATCGGCCCCCCACGCGCCCAACGCTGGCCCAGGGCGGCGGGAGAGGGGAATCACCGACCCGTGATCGCTCATTCGTCGCTGGGTACGTCTAGCTTCTGGCGGGGGCCGATATGTCGATTCTCGGCGTGTATCGCCGACTCCAGGTCGACGTCCCCCCTCTCCTTCGCTGGTGTTCGCCCTCCTCGTTTTGGGGGGGAAATTATTATGCTTCTCCTGTTCTCCACCTCCTCCTCATCTTCCTCCTCCTCATCCTTCTCTTTCTCTTTCTCTTTTTCCTCCTCCTCCACCTCCTCCTGTCCACCTTTTCCTGACAACTTGTGTGACTGCGGTAAGTCTGGTAAGATTCCTCTTCCTTTGAGAAGACATTTCTCTCTATAACCTCGCCCTCCCTCAAACGCTCCAAAATGGGGAAAAAATTGGTTTTCGATTGCTTTCAGAAATCGCTAAAAATTGCGGTCGTGATTTCAAGTATGATTGATTTTTTATAATATTCATCATGCGCCTGGAGGCGCCCTTACAACGGCGCTAGCGGACATCACGCGCGTTGTCGTTGCGAGGTTTCTCGTCTCAGAGAGCGGCCGCGGCACACCCGCGCGGCACCATCGGGACAAACAACCGCAGGACAACCAAACGACGGCCGCCGGGACAACTGTACGGGACACCCGCGAGGCAACATCAGGACAAACAAGCACAATCATCGTAGCATGCCTCAAGACACTAATTGGGGGCAGCCGCGAGAACAACCATCGGGACACCATCGGGACACCGTGAGAACAACCGTCGGGACGCCATCGGGACACAGTGGGGACGCCGTCAGGACAAGTAGGAATTCTTGACGCTTCGCGCATCCCCACCAGCCCATCCAGGAACGACGTCCAGGCGCTCTGAGGTGATCAGGACGTGCGCCCGCTCTTCCACAGGAAGAACGCTTTGGGCATCTTGAGTCCGATGCCTTTGAGGCCTAGAGGCCTCGGGCTCAAGATGCCCAAAGCGTTCTTCCAGTGGAAGTACGCTTTGGGCATCTGAAGTCCGAACGCTTTGGGCATCTTAAGTCCGATGCCCAAGAGGCTCCAATATGGCCTCAGAGGGCTCCAAGACGGCCCCAAGAGGGCCCGAAATTCTACTACCAGACGCCCCCTCCGCTGGTAATAGAACATGCTGCCCTCTTGGAGCCCTCTTGGGGCCTCTGAGGGCCCCTTGGGGCCCCATTGGAGCCCTCTCTGGCACCCGCGAAGCTCCAAGAGGGCCCCAAGAGGGCCCCAAGAGGGCTCCAAGACGGCCCCAAGAGGGCCCGATTTTCTATTACAAGACGCCACCCGCTGGTAGTCGAAAAAGGCGGCCCTCTTGGGGCCCTTCTTGGGGCATTATTGGGGCCTTCTTAAGGCCCTCTTGGGGCCCTCTTGTGCCCCCAAGAAGCTCCAAGAGGGCCCCGAGAGGGCCCCGCGAGGCCTCCAAGACGGCCCCGAGAGGGCCAGATTTTCTACTACCAGACGGCCCCCGCTGGTAATAGAACATGTTGCCCTCTTAGAGCCCCTTCGGGGCCCTCTCGGGGCTCTCTTGGGGCCCTCTTGTGCCCCCAAGAAGCTCCAAGATGGCCCCAAGATGCCCCCAAGAGGGCTCCAAGACGGCCCCAAGAGGGTCCGATTTTCGACTACCAGACGGTCCCCGCTGGTAATAGAAAATGCGGCCCTCTTGGAGCTCTCTGGGTCCTCTGGAGGGACCCCGAAAAGGTTCCCAGTGACATCCGAGGGGGTGGAGGGGGAGGTGGAGGGGGGGTGGAGGGGTGGAGGGGGAGGTGGAGGGGGAGGTGGAGGAGCGGTGGATGGGGGGAGGTGGGTGGGATGGTGGAGGGGGTGGTGGAGGGTGGTGGAGGAGGGGGGAGTGGAAGGGGGGAGGGGTTGGTGGAGGGGGGGGGGGCAGTCCCTGGGTGAGAGGGTATAGAGAGGGGGTTCTGGAAGAGGAAACGCCCTAGACCACCGACGCCCAGAGGGCTGATGGGATTCGAACAGCGTGCGTGCGATGTCCATTGCCGTTTTGTATCAAATGTCTTCGCATGCTGTCTTTCTGATCACTGTTATCGCTCGCTGAGCGCCTGATGCATGGAGAATGGATTTTTTGGACGCCTGGGCTGGCGAAGCTGAGTCCAGCGCGTCTGAGGGTGGCTCGGCGCTTTTCTGGTCGCCAGCGGGGCCGCCAGAGGAGGCGCCCGTGGAGGCCCCAGCGGCTGCGGAGGCCGTTGATCAGGAGGCCGCCGCCCAGCAGGCGCCAGGGGCTGCGCCCGTGGAGGCTGTCGTCGACCTCTGGGCTGCGGAGGCCGATGATGAGGCCGCAGCCCCCGTCAACCCCGCGGTCAACAGGAGAAGACTCAGGAAGGTCTTCAAAGCAGCATTACGTGATGAATTGGTGTCTGTCTTGCCGCAGATTCGTCAAGCGCGTGCTCCTCCTGAGGTTCCAGATGCGCCAGCGCTGATGCTGCTTCCACCACCGCCTGATGACCCCATTGTGCCGCCCATTGAGGACATCCCTGCTATGGAGGACGTTGTGGCCGATGGCCCAGAGGCACTTGCTGAATTGGCCCTCGCACTCCCTGGAGGCGGCCCTGGCGACCACCATGTACCTGATATTGCGTCCTCGCCCGACGCGGTTGTTCGATATGGGAGGTTTCTTGAAGCTACCGCGACATCATTCGGAGTCATGTGCAGAATATTGAGCTTGTTGGGTGAAGGCGCCAAGCATTACGCTCCTGCCGAGAGGGTTCATTCGCATCTTACCTCAGCGGACAACGTTCTTCTGACTTGCAAGACGCTGAACGAGCATGCCAGGCGAAGCGGCACAGAACGACGTCAATTCGCTAAGAAATCAATGTTGTGTGCGTCCGTGACTTGGGTTGGTTATCTTCACAGCATGCGTTGCTCCATACAGGCCATCATCGACAATGTGCAGGCTAAGTCGGGCATCCTTCAGACGTTCTTCGTGTTCTATCGCGAGGACGAGACTCCTCTCAAGATGACCGTCTCGGACACAGACTCCTTGTACGGCCTACCAGCAGCAATTGTCGATAAGGTTTGGTACCACTTCCAGGACGTCGCCGATGCGACCTCGGGCGTTGCCAAAATATTGCAAAGCGAGATCATCGTTGCTGTCACTGTGATGGTGTCGAACTCGATGAAGATATTCAGTTGGAAAGTGCCTTGTCCAGTTCAGAGCCTTGGTCGTACAACTGGTGAAACATCTTTTCAGGCAGCAGCGCTGCGTGATGAAATGCTCGGCGTGGGCCCACTCGCAGCACAGTTCAGGAGACGACATCATTTTTTTTGCACGGATCGAGAAGGCGCCCTGGCCAAGGCTCGGCGTGCGAAGCTTCACTCGGCCAGGCAGCAAGATGAGGCGTTCACCGACGCGATCACGGCATGCGGCGTTCACATCAAGAACACGTGCCGCGAGCAGTTCTTTCTCAATGAGGAGCCCGTGTCGAACCTCATTTATAAGTTCGTGCAGTCGTTGGCCTTCAGCAACCACAGAAGGGTTTTCAAGGCTGCGTTGAGACGCGTTCTGTTGGAGTTGCCTGTGGATGAGACCCAGCCGCCGCTGCTGGCCAGGAGTTCGAACTTAGCACGCATGACGCATATACTTCCAGATGCTCCTGATACTGATGTGCGAAAGACTGAGATATTGATGCATTTCCCAGGTGCTTGGGGCAGAGGCCACCTACGCTGGTACAAGTGGAGCGTGGAGAGCGAGGAAGAGACTCTATCACGATTGATCGGGCCTGCCACTCGGGCGCTGATCGGCTTAGGTCCAGGCGGATTTCCTGGGCGGAGTTGGACCAAATCTGAACAGGCACCTCGTTGGATAGCATTGTTGTCTATGATCGGAGTGCTCGAGGATGCGTACCGAGTCTTCTGCATCAAAATCGGAGATACAGCTCACGTACTTCCACTTGCTGACGCTGCCCCGCCCGATGCCGATCATGACCAACCGCCACCCATTGAAGATGATCAACCCGTCGCGGCTGGTGACGGTGACGGCGACGTCGGCATGCCGTCGCCCGTCGACGCGGCCCCCGACATCGAGGGAGCACCTGCGCATGATCACATTCCGGAGCTTGGCCATGAGCAGCGCCGCGACGCCCGTGAGCTAGCAGAAGAACAGAGGAAGGAACAGCACAGATTCAGAGTAGCAGTTTTAGCATGGATCGAGCGTGGCACTGTCTTTCCCGATTGCTTCGCGTTTGCGGTTTCGCAGTTCCCCCATGTGAAAGCGATGTCGTCTAGCTTATGGATCGCTGGGAGGGAGTTTGAGAAGGCGCAGCGGAAGGCATCGGCACGGAGAGCACGCAGACGCGCTCGAGTTTCCGAGGGCGGGCCTGGTTTTGAGGGGGCTGGCGGCCCTGGTTTAGACGACAGCGAACGACAATTTCGACTTATTGTGTCTTATGATTGCACGGTCGAGCGCGAGTTCTCGAAGACCCTCTCCGAGCTGCGGGCGCCAGAACCTTGGGGCCCATTGCAGATGCAGCATCGGAGTTTGACCAGGAGGAATCGGATATTTATCATGCTTTCCCGAGCTGGCGCCCTCAATCATAAGTGCATCGACGCCAAGCGGAATTATCCGTACAAAGGCGTTGCCATTGTGAAGTACCCAGGTCTAGCCGCAGAGATCAGCGCTGACGCAGCGTGCCAAAGACGGCTGGATCGGGGAACGAGGTCATGGCTTGAACATTGGGGCGGCGATGTGTCTTCAGAGGAGGCTCGCTTAGACATGTTGCCCATCGCGCTCTTTGGCAGAGATGAAGCAGTCGGGATCGAGTGGGGGCACCAACGGATCCGTCGATTCGTGGTGTCGAGGGGCGTCCAAGCGAAGGCCGTGGACATGGTCGGCCTCGACGTGTGGTGGGTATTCGACGTCTTGCAGTTGGAGCGGCGCAGCTGGTGGACGTACCCTATGCCGATAGTCAGTGCTGACGGCGCCGACAAGGAGGAGGAGCAGGGGCAGGAGGGCACGACGGATCGGAAGCGAAAGCACTCTGCTTGGAATGTGTTTCGGGCAGAGGACGGCGGCATATGGGGACTTCAATGCTAGCTCGGATACGGGCGCGTGCGCTGCCAGAGTGATTCGCGCGCGTGTTCGGCGGCAACTGCCACGTTGTTAGGCGTTTGTGTTGATGGATGTGATATTTGGTGCGGGGTTCGGGGGTTGGACGGCGCGCTCGCCGTCAGAGTCCGACAGGGGTGCCCAGGGGCCCTGGTTATGGCCCGAGCCCAGTCGCCAGTCGATTCACCCAGTCGGTTCAAAAACGGCTCGCCTTACTGGAGAAAACGGCACTGGTTATTGCGCAGGGGCCGCACCCAATCGATTCAAAAACGCCCCGCCTTCCCTGAGAAAACGGCGTCACGTGAATCACTCTGCAGCGCGTCGCACTTGTCCGATTATATTGTTGTCCCCATAGTCGCCAGGAGGTGACGGGCAAGACTGGCGAGGATGTGCCGACCACCGAGGCCATGTCCGCCAAGTACAGGACCTTGGACCTCGAGAAGCGCCGCCGTCTACACGTGGAGGCGGCAGAGGCTGACGACGCGGCAGCCGCGGGCAACCCCCGCCCTCTTGGGGGGCCCGCCTCGGCTGCACAGCGCCGCGTCCCTGCTGCAGCTGACGACCACGCCCATTGGGCAGGGCCTACTCGACCGCTTGCTGTGCGAACGGCGATGCTGAACCCTGCCGATTGCAAGGCTTCAATCCAGAACCACAGGCGGGACAAGCGCAGGATGCTCTCCGATGCTGAGGTCGCTGATCGACGGGACGCGGACGCGTTCGAGCAGGATGAGCAGCGGAGTGGTGGCCCCATCGAGTCGACGATCGCCACGCTACCTGCTCTTGCCCACCCTCTCGATAGCAACCCGAGCATGTCTTGGAACGCCTCCGAGATTGGTGGTGCCATGCGCGTTGATCACTTGCGAGCTCGTTTTCAAGGCTGGGCTGACTTGATCAAGAAGGTAGTTACGTTGGACAGCCGCGGTGACCCTTGTCGGAACGCAGCGGCTGCTTTCCACAGTGTGTTGCAAAAGTTGTTCAAGCAGTGGTGCTCTACAATTCAGCACAGGGCCATCGACGGGTTCGACAATGCTGCGAAGGGCCCTGATGCTACCAGCAAGGACTTCTTGTGTTGGCGTGCCAACCGCTGCATGTGCGGATCTATTGGGAAGATGTCGCTAAAGCTTCGCAACAACATTCACGCGAGCATGAAGAGGATGTATCGGACTAAGGCTGACAGGGCAGTTCTGGTTCGCAGCGAGGTGGTGATGCTTCTATGCGGTTGGGACGTCATCCGCGCTCCTGGCGGAGCGGTCTTGCCAGCGGACTTCGGCACCAGGCCTTCCGACGCCAAGTGGTTTCACATCTGCTACGTCCTCCAGAAGCCATGGGAGGCTATGGCAGAATTAATTTCCAATGCTATTCCCATCCCCCACCCCAAATTCCAGGTAGACGGGCTCCCATTATCCGAAACGGTTTTCTTTTGGTTATTGCTCCATTTCGTTGTTGGCCTCGCGGCCCCGACAAGCTCAAGGCAAATTTGCATCGGATTGGATTGGCATCCTTGGGCCAGCATGGCTACGGACGGTGACGATAACGTTGAGGAGCGAGGAGGAATGGTGGATGAGGAACGTGAATCTTTCCGCCGAATCTTGTATGGTGCATGGTGCAGTCTAGGGCATGGGGACGTGTGCCAACAATGACAATTTAAAAGAAAAGGTTTTAAATTACGGTTGCACCGTTCTTGGGGTCCATTGGGGCCCTCTTGGGGGCTTATGTTGCCGTCTGTCTGTGGTCGCGGGGCCCCTTTTATGCTGTCTTGGGGTAGTTTGGCCGTCTGTGCGCCCTCTTGAAGCGATTGCGCTGCCGTCTTGAAGCCGCCTTTGTCCGTCGACGGGGGCGTTTATCACTACCACGTCGACCGTCCTGACATTTGCGAGTACACCAGTTCTGCAATGCTATGCTTAGCGTGCTATGTCATGAGGTGGTGTTTTATGATACGCTTTGCTGGTCTCTGCTATGTTGTGCCATGCTATGATCTAGGGTCCCATCAAAAGCTCTCGGGAAGTCTCTTCTGGGCGCATCGGCAGCGGCCATCTTGAAACCAGGAAGGGTTTCTCTGGCGTTTTGGGTGTCTTGGGTGTCGCCCTCTGTGTCCTAAGCAGCAAATAACACATAGCAGCGCCCGCTCGTGAGTTGGGATGTTTCCGTCAATATATAGCGCTTCGCGCGTCCATGTCCAGAGTTGGAGTTGCTTGAGGTCGAGGTTCTTCCCCGCCACCGCAACCCATGCAGCTAGGGGTGGGTTTTCTGGAGGTCCCCCTTCACCGCGGTAGACGCCAGGACCCCTGGGCCGACCACGTTCTGAAGGTCGGTCGGTCCAGCTGTTGGCCCAGGGGGCCCCTGTTGTCTACGCGGCAGGGGGGGGCTTAGGCGTTGATGGGGTGTCTCGTCGCCCGTGACTCACCGTGGTTTTGGGCCCGTTGGGCTCAAAGGTTCTCAAGCTTTCGGCCTTAGCAATGGCCATCCTGGATCCGTTATGTGGCGCCCCTCGGGCTTTCAGGCACTCTCAGATATCTCTTCAGGTATGCCCGCTCGCCCAGCCGAAGTATGCGAGTTTGCCTATTGCGCTCCCAGGTTGTGTATCAGAGGCTTTATCCTACTCGCGATGGGATTTGGCCCGTCGCCGCCGTCGAAGATGGGATGGTGAATCTGGCTTCTCCGATTGGCGTCGTTGAGTTGTGCACCAAAGACGAGTTTTACACGGACTACGACCTGGTGACGTTTTTGTCCATGCCTTGTCATTGGATGGGGTCTTACTGGCAGCTGCGTTTCAGTGAAGGGTTCGTTGACATCATGGCGCCCAACCTTTGCGAGGTGGAGGTGGCGTCCAAGCAGTTGGTCCCTATCTTCAATCCTCGTCGCACTAGGTGCCGCCCCGACACGCACGAGTTTGCTTGGGCCGCGGAGGCGGAGGGCGAGCCCAGCGACGAGGGCGAGGACGCTGCCACAGGGCCTGGCAGTGATAGGGGCAGCGGCGGCGGGGAGTCCGAGGCCGCGTCGGACGCTCACGATCATTCCGATGACGGCGGCGGTTGGGACTCCGAGGAGGGCGGTGGCGATGGCCCTGACATTGAAAAGCCTTCTGGCGGCGACGCTGGTGGTCCACCTTCCAGTGCTGAGTCGATGTCTGCAGGTTCTTCCTCTTCGGAGTCCTCTTCGTCATCCACTGACTCCGATGATGGCGACGGCGGCGGCTCGAGCAGCAGCAGCGCCGTCGGGGCCAATCTTCTCGGGGCTTATCTATACAAGGTGGAGGTCCCAGGTTTGGGCTTCATCACGTACCATATGGACGATAACGAGGGCTACTTCACAGCATTTTGCAAGTGCAAGGCCCACAAAGGCGGTCTCCCCTGCAAGACGTCTCGCAGGGCCAATTCAGGATTCAAGCCGGGGCAGGGGAGGCCGCTCGGTTGGTTGACATGTTGGTTGGAACAGCTTCATGCAGATGAGCCGCCTGCCACGAGGGACGATCACGTCCACCCGACTGTGAAGTTCCGACCCGTTCAGGACGATCGGCAGGCAGCCAGGGACAGGCTGATGGCGTTCCCTGGGGCCTCCGACCTCGCCGCGATGGAGTTCGGCGGCCTCCACGCGATGCCGCTTGAGCCTGTGAACTTCAAGTGAGTTATGTAACTACTCGTTGCACGCTTTGTCTAAATAATTGTCTGTCCCCAGTTCATCCAGCGGCGATGGCCGCGAACCCCCGCCACCCCATCCAGAACCGTCGCGAGCCCCGCCCGCCCATCCAGAAGCGATTATCTTCCATAGAGCTGGTTTGTGGCCCTCCTGGGGGCCTCTTGGATAGTAAGACTGCCCCGCGAAAGCTCCGAGACGGCTGCAACAGGGATCCAAGACAACACCAGGGAGCTCTAAACAGAAAAAACACGGCCCTTTGCCGAAAGCTCTCGGGGGTCATCTCTGGCCCTTTGGGAATTGTCTGGAGGCCCTCTTGGGGCCATCTTGGGGCTCCGAGAGGGCTCCAAGGGGGCCCGTGGCCTCGTGGCCCCTCCCACCAAACGCAGGGGAAAGGGGGTAGGGGGATTTGTC